TGCTCTGGGTTCTTCAAAATCGACTTCAGTGGAACCTTCGGAGCTTCTGGAGCTTCTGAAGCCTCCAGAAGCCGTCGTCGATCCTCCTCCAGAAGACGTTCCAGCCCTCCATCCTCCTTCAGAATTGTCTGCTCCTTCCGAACGTCATCAGCATTCTGACGACGTTGGGCTTCTGATTTTTCAAACATTTCATCGAATTCCGGGTCGGAATCTTGGGAAGGCATTTCTTCATCGTTGTCATCTCTAGAAGTGCCTTCAGAATCCTTCTGACAGCCTTCGGATTCTGAATTCGTAGACTTGGAGTCATACTCATCGTCGGCATCGGCTAAAATGGGAGGTGGAGGAGATTTCAGTCTTCTTCTGGGAGGTGTTGGATCTTCTTGAACCTCTCTAGAAGACGTTGAAGCTTTTGGAACCTTCTTAGAAGACGTTGAAGCTTCAGAATCTTCTACGACATCTTTCTGGACCGTCAAGTTCGTTGTATCGCCTTCTAGCACTCGAATAAGTTTCTCCGATCTTGGTTCTGGACGTATTTCTCCCATGATGACGTCATCAATTGTCTCCAGAATCCGTTTTTCCTTTTCAGAATCCATCGGCTCGTCTTCCGATCCATCAGACATCTCGTCGTGGAACATTAGCCGTTGGACCACCTTTTCAATAGTTTCCAGAATGTTTTCTTCGTTGTTGGCTTCAGGAGGTCTTAGACTCTCGACGACTTCGTCGATGAGGTTCCGAATTTTTTCAGAGGCTTCTGGATCCACTGGCGTCGGAGAAAATGAAGTTGAAGGCAGCGTAGTGACTTTTGGAGCCTTCAGAATCCTTTTCGTGGCTTCTGGACCTTCAGACGCCGTTGAAAATGTATAAGAATTGTGACTGATGGGTTTTGGAGGCTTTGAAGACGTCATCTTGACTTCTGGAAACTTTGAAGATGTCATCTTGACTTCTGGAGTCATTGAAGACGTCACATTAACTATTTGAGCCTTCTGGAGCCTTTCGGTAGCTTCTGGATCCTTTGACGTCGTTGAAAATGAATTTGAAGACGTCATCTTGATTTCCGGCTTCTTCAGAATCCTTTCAGATAACGTGAAAGGAGCCGGAAAGTCTTCTGAGCTCACAAATATCTTCCTGTAGGACTTTGAAGCTTCATAATCGTTCGAAATGACTCCTGGACGCTTCAGGACTTCTTTAGATGAAATCGAGCATTCAGAATCCTTCTCCACGTTTTTCGATGGCTTCCGAATCCTTTTAGATGACGTGGCTGATGACGTGGATGGTTCAGAATCTTCTATAAGTTTTCCAGTAAACATCCGATTCAGCAATTCAAATTCCCGAGTTTTACGATCTTCAGGATTGGGATTATCAAATATTGGCGGACGTCCGACTCCACGTTTGGCAGGTTTTTTGAATATTCTGAAAATTGAGAATTACAGTAATCCTTAAGAAATTCAGTAATTTGGAAATTCAGATATTCAGGAATTCAGAAATTCTGAAACTCTGAAAATCTGAATTCAAAAATTCAAAAATTAACTAACCTCACAGATGAAATTGGTTCATAAAAAACCATATCCGGAGCGACGAAGGCAGGCATCTGAAAATTAGGAATTTTTAGAATTTTCAGAATTTTTAGAATTTTTAGAATTTTTAGAATTTTCAGAGTTTTCGAGAATGCTAGACTCTTGAATTTTGAATTTTCAGGATCTCAGAAACCCAGAATCTCGAAATTTCAGAATTTGAAACACTCACCTCAAAATTCTGAACCTTCGGCTGCACTTTGGGGACGTCAGAATCTGTCATCTCGTTGTTTTTGATCATGTTTCTGAAAAAAAGCACTTCATTTTCCTTCTTTTTCTAATCTTGAGGATCTTGATAATCCTCTGATTCTAAAAATCCAAAAAAAAAAACGACTCACCCTATTTTATTTGTCTCTTCTGTCATCGTGACATCCATAGTTGACATTCCCTGGCCATCTGATGACATTATTTCTGGAATTTTAAGAAATTGAGGAAAAAATAGTTTTTACAAACTTTTTTAATTACAAAATCGACAAACGTTCCTACAATTCTGTCTAAAAATCACATTTCTAGCGCTTCTAGGAACCGAGATAGAGCCGCTTCAAGTTAAGGAGGCTAGAGACGCAGACGACAAGACACGCTGCGTCTCTAACCTCGGAAACTTCAAATGACCGTATCTCGAGTCCTAGATTAGCTAGGAAGTTGGTTTTTGAACAGAATTGTAGGGTTTAAAATGGATTTTCAGATTTTTTTATGGAAACATTGGTTGATCCATGTCCTCCCTCTTTTAAATGCCCAAAATCCTAGGAGTCGAAAAATCGAAATTTTGAAAATCTGGTGAAAAATGACCTATTTTGAAGTCCTACAAAAGTAGTTCAGATTTTTCCAATTTGTTTGAAATTTTTAGATTATACCAGGTAAAAATAGAGCTTCAATTTTGTAGTTGACAACTTTTTTGTACTTTTTTTGGTTTTCGAGATGTGAGTTTTCAAAAATACCGTATAATTAGATCATAACTTCTTTCAAAATCGAGATTTTCGAATAATTTAAATTGGAAAATGTTAATCTTAAAAAGCGCTACAAAATGATATAAAATTCAACTATCTACAAACTCCGATTTTTTGTAAATTTCGATCTTTTTGAATACAAGACAAAGGCAACTGAGAAATAATTCTGTTTGGGTTTGAAAATAGACGAAAATTCCTACAATTCTGTCTAAAAATCACATTTCTAGTGCTTCTAAGAACCGAGATAGAACCGCTCCAAGTTTAGGAGGCTAGAGACGCAGACGACGAGACACGCTGCGTCTCTAACCTCAGAAACTTCAAATGACCGTATCTCGAGTTCTAGATGAGCGAGAAAGTTAGTTTTTGAACAGAATTATAGGCTTTGAAATGGATTTTTAGATTGTTTGGGGAAAATAGTTGGAAAATGTACAGTACCGGTCAACAAAACGTATTTTTCAGTTGATCTCTGGCAATTTCAGAAGTCTGGAGCTCAGTTATCAAGTTTGTGATCTCTTTGAAATGTTTGGAGAGTGTAAAACAGACCTAGATTGAAAACTTTGATTAGCAGAACTTTTTGAAAATTCGTTTTTTTTCTGATTTTTTGAAGACACCCTTGAAATGGTCGAAAGATGCCTAAATAGTTTTGTAATCAGAATTGCTTTTCGAAATAGCAGAAACGGTTCAAAATTGGCTTGAAAACAAACTGAAGATGGACAAAAAATCTAAGAAAAATCAGAAATTTTAAACAAACTAAATAAGGTTAAAAACAGCTGAAATAGCCAGACAACGGACAAAAAACGGATCAAAAACCAGAAGAGAACATTTTGAAACTGGCCTAGAATGAAAACATTGCATTCACAGAATTTTACGATAATTCCTAGTTTTTGAGTTTTTGGCCCAGTGTTTGTGCTGAAAATGTGAGGAACCGACAAAAATTTGAAAAACTAAGAATTTTCAAAGTTTTCAGTGAATGCAAAGTTTTTAATCTAGGCCTGTTTTACACTTTCCTAAATTTTCAAAGTGATCGCAGACTTGACTGCTGAACTCTAGACTTCTAAAAATGCCACAAAATCAACGGAAAAATACATTTTTATATCTTATTGACCGGTAGTGCATACATATGTACCTGGGATTATTTTGTTGTCCTTCCTCTTTCTCAGCATGTGTGTATGATGAGGGAGAGAGAGAGAGAGGCACAGGAAAGGGGGAGAAGGTACTGAAGGAGTGCAAAGGCTCTGCGATGGCTACGAGCGGTCAGAAGACGTCTTGCTAATGAGAGATGAAGAAAAGGGACATATGTCTGTGTTGCTTGATGACAGGTGTTAGAAGGAACGGGGGTTGAGTGAATGATGGGGGAAGAAGAAGAAGAAAAGGAGGAGGAGGAAGAAGAAAAGAACAAATCGCGTAAAAGAGAATTTGAGAGGTGTAATAGATGGAACATTTTTTTCGGGAAGGTGAGGATTAAAGGAGGACTCCGACCAAAAATTTTTATTGCATTAAAATGTGTTAAA